TAACCGGAAAAATTTCAAGCAAATTGGGGTTATGAAAATGGAGCAACCTACAAGGTTTTCATTCACTTCGAAATGCTGATAGATTTTATGAATATAATTCTTAAAACAGATCTGTTTACTTGAAATAAATAATGCACCATCTTATTTGGCAATTCAGACTAATGACATGTGTGAATCAACTTCTCTGATTCATCTTAGATGAAAAGCAAATCGTAAAGATTTTGAAACTTATCCGAAACCAAAAAAGTTGTTCGGACATCGTTTTTAAATCTCGTGGTCAATTCCCTCGAAAAATCGGTCAATCTCCTTATGTAAAATTGTTTAAACTTCGTTTTTCAATATACTTTAAAAATTATCTCTACCTTACCGATCTGTATCATATACCCATAAAAAAACTGCATTAAGTTGTAAAGACACAGGTAAATATATTTTTAAATTCAATATCTGCGATAAAAATAATTTTTTTTTAACGAAAAAATATTTTTTTCGGAGTTGTCAACTCGATGGTTTTACTTCTACAAGGATTGGCAGTCTGGATCGGATTTTTAACGGTGTTGTCAAGAACCCACATTTTTGTCTTTCTTCTCTGAGACTGAGAACTGATAAAGGATTGTATATGACCGATGTAGAAAACAAGGAAGATATTTGCTTTAGAAGAGCTTACTCCTCGGAAATGCGATATGACGCAATTTAACTTTGAAGTTGGGACTCTGAAGCYCCGAAATTATGCGAGCAACTTGTTGTGGATGAAGATCTTGGAAAATTAGGTATGAGTGCCATCAGATAAGGATTATCATTCCCACATATACTATGTATACATATATAGTATGCTCTTACGAAAAAATCACGTTCTTATCAAAAGATACAACTGTATGCTTTAATTATGCCTTGGACTGGGTACATTAGATTTGCCACGATTTTTTTAACAACCAGAAGGAAACGTCGGAGAACTTAGGGTGTTTGAGATATCGGTTTGAAAACTTGCAGACTTTTTCCCACTAAAAAGCTGTTCATAGGTCGAAATCGCCGAACAAACTCGCCGATCAAAATCAATATTAAGACCTTCTTATATCCTTCTAACCTATAAGAAATGTACTCGTGTAGGTATTATAGCTTCAGTGCAGCCGACTTAGGCTTTTTTATATGGGAGAAATACCTTTTTGCTAACTTTCTGCTTATCCTACCGGCCTAGTGGTTGGATATTGAATTATTCACTTAATAATAACTATAAAGAGCTTTTGAGCTGAGGATATTCATCTATTTAATCATCTATAGGCTATTTGTTTCATCAATGAGAATTTAAGACTTAAAATTAGCGATGTAAGCACATACATATATTTCAAAAATGATATCAATTAAACAAACAAATGTCGAAAAGAGCATATTAAACATTTGAATGTTAATGCAATTTAACCCCAAAAATATTAGCCTTTAAAGCAGGCTGGAGTATTGTCATCTCAAAAGGCTTTGCTGCTAATCGATTCGTTATGTGGCAGCTTACTCACTTTATTGAAGCATTATCATAAATTCATGTGGTTCTTTTACGAAAATAAATATGTAGTATATCGTCACCTGAAATGCAAAATAACGTAATAACATTTTCGGAAATTTGCATTGGCATGAATGGAACATGAAATAAAACAAAACATGAGTGAAAAAAAAATTAATGAAAATGTTGAACATATGTAATATTATGTATGTGATTTGAAGTAGTGAACCGTAATCAATAAGACACTCAATTTCGAATTTTTTGATGATACGTTTTTTGTATTTCAGGTAACGATATGTACATATGTAAGCAAGCGATATACATATATAAGTATATACATACATACATATGTTTCCGAAAAATATATACACATGTATATGTGCATATATTCAATTAAGCAAATATATATGTGTGTATGTATATAATGATAAATATATAAAAATTCGCCACCTCAATGAATCCACATTTTGTTGCAAAGGCATACGCATAATGTAGCGTCAGTTAAAATGCTGCGGCGTGTACATTTGGAAAGCGTCTACTGCGCATAGCTGCGACTGCAAAGTCTTAGCAGCGCCTCAGTGAAAATTTCATCTCATTTTACACTACAAGCAGAGCAGTAATAAGAAAATATGAAAAAACGACAAATGCAGTCGTCGCATTGCAACGTATTGCAAAAAGCTGGCGAGCTGCACGCACACAACAGCGCCACAATCGGTTGCCGGTATAACGATGACTTAGCTACGCGGCGGCGGCCGGTTAGTTTCCTGACGCACCCCGATCATATGCTTGAACTTGGACTTCCAATCGAATTTGCTGTAAGCTTTCCATTCAGCGCTGCAAACTGGTTTAAAAGGGCAGCATTCAGCAATTTGCGCTCATATGAAAACCAGTTAGGAAGCAAATCGGGCGTGTTTCGGCAGCGCATCGGTTGCATTCGAATGGTACAACATCTACTGCACCAACTAACCAGAGCCTAGACATACAGAGAGCAGCAGAAAGCATATAATTTAAGTGTTACTTCCGAGGAATTAATTAAATAAAATTCATTGTTTATAACGCGAAAAAGGGCGAGTAAAAATTTGCCGTTTAAAACGTGTCGTGAACGCGTCGTTGACGTGCGTGTGCAAAGTGTGTGCGTTTTACTAGAAAAGAACTACTTTCCGTAAATATAATATACACATATATACATATATACTAAAATTTACATACATACATACACACCTAAAAGATGTCACTCATACCGTTCATACTCGAATTGGCCGATGAGTTGCATGAATTCAATCGTTGCCTGGCCACCGGTGGTATGGATGTCGACGACTTCGGTTTCGGTATCTACCCGCATGAATTGCAGCCGCAGCAGCAGCAGTCGCCGCAACAACAGCAGCAGTCGCAACATCCACTGCAGCAACAACAGCAAGTACAGCAACAACATTTGTCGCAGCAGCGACGCCCACGCACCCTCTCCCAGTTTTACTGGTTGCCAAATATAAGTAAAAGTCGACACCATCCCTACTATCGTGGCAAACCATGTTGCAACAAAACTCCCATACATTTGGTGCACGACCATCAGCTGGAAAAGGAAACATCGACTGCTGGCGGCGGCGGCGGCGGCGGTGGTGGCAGTGGCGTCATTAATTCTAGCCCCACAGCAGCCGGCACAAATGCGGCTGACAAGGAGTTAACGCCTACTAGTGCTCATGCCACAAATTCCACGAACTCCTCCAATTCAACTGGCAATTCGGCGGCTGGTAAATCCGCGTATTCGGTGGTTAATAAGAATGGCTTTCAGGTTAGCATGAATGTGAAGCAATTCGCACCCAACGAACTGACCGTCAAGACAATCGATAATTGTATCGTCGTCGAGGGTCAGCACGAAGACAAGGAAGATGGGCATGGCGTCATTTCGCGACACTTCATCCGAAAGTATATGCTGCCGAAGGGATACGACCCGAGCGAAGTGCTTTCCACATTGTCCTCGGATGGAATTTTGACTGTTAAGGCGCCACCGCCAGCACTGAAGACTGACGAAACTATGGAACGCATTGTCGATATACAGCAAACCGGCGGACCGGTACAGGTTCAACAGAGCGCTGCTAAGGAACCAACAAATGTCGCTAGTAACGGTAAGGAAACCCAAACTAGTGCAGCAACTGCTGTGGCACAGGCAGTCACTGATGCTGCAGCCGTTGCAGCTGTTAGCTTACCAACAGCGGTGGCAACAACATTACAAAAACAACAACAACCACAGCAAGAAAAGCAGCAAAACCAGCAAACCCATACAATAAATGCAACAGTCGAAGGTGTTCAACAACAACAGCAGCAGCCGACGAAATTGTCACAGGCAACAACAAAAGACTTGCAGGTAACGCGCGAACGCAATGGCAAGCTGGAACCGAAAGAGTTGCTCGCCGAGCAAGAGACTGAAAAACGCACAGCTGAGCAGAAAGCCATGTCTTCCAATACCAACAACAATAACATTAATATTAACAGTGGTGACACCAACATGGACTGTAGTGAGTTAAAAGCCGCTGTTACTTCCAAGCCCACTTCGCAAACGGAAGTGAAAGAGAGGGAGTCTACAGTGGAGAATGACGAGCCGACACTCGCCGTTATAGAGAATGTCAATAATAAAGCGCCTCACGCCAGCGATGCAACAAAATCATCGTCGACAATTGACACCATCAGGGCTGACGCTACAGCAGATGAGCCGATGGAGACAGAGGAAGAACTGGAGACAATTACTAATGAAGAAGTTGTCGCACAGAAGCCTATAGTGGACTCAATACCCACAGCTGATACTGAAGATGACGCAGCGTCTGCCAACAACATTGATTGTGGTGTTAACTCTGCTGTAACAGCAGCAACAACTAATAATAATACCACTTCCAACGATGTCGTCACACCGACTAGCGACACCGCAAGTGCCGTAGAGGCTAACGGTATCGAAAATAACACCGCCAACAACATTGACATCGAGTTGGYGCCCGCAACCATCGCCGACGCCAGCGACATTGTTGTGGTCACCAATAACGGTGTGTCCGATGATAAGACTGCCGCCAAAGGCGATGGTCTAACGATTAGCTTAGAGTCAACAGTAGCCGAAATTGATGGTGTCACAGACATGGACGCCGATATCGCTGACGTCGCCGATGTTGTCGATGGTGTTGTGGATGCCGACGGCTTGGACAGTGGCGTTATCGCGATTGGCATCGACGCCATCGGGGTCGGCGTAGATGTCAATGTAATCACAGCAGATGGCAACAATGCAACTGCGCAAAATATTGAAGATGGCAATGAAGAGAACGTCGCCACTGGTAATGTAGTAGTTGCTGCGCAATCGCCCACACCAGCTGATTTGGTGGCAGCAGCTGATGCTGCCATACTTTTGGCCAAGACACAATGTGATGGTGGTGCCGGTGATGTTGCAGCCAGTAAACCTGCTCTGAACACCGAAGAAATAACTAACTAAGCGCGAGAGCGAGTGAGGGAGACCGAGCGAGTGATGTGGTGGTGCAGCACGAAAGATTTGAGCATAAGGAAAAGAAAAATTTTGCGGAGTTAGAAAAAATAACGGTATAAGCATTCACTTTGGCAGATACATACGTACATATATATGAGAAAAAAACAACACAAAAAACAACAAAAATGCGTTTACATTTTAAGTACTTAACTATGGTAGTAGCAGCTAAAGTTAAAAATAAAAGTAAAAAATAGAAACAAAAAGCAGATGAAGCAAGTGATATAAAAAGTAGAAATATAAATCGCAAAAGGCGTATTTAGAGACGCCATTTCCTACATGCATTCATACACATTCTAACATAAATTAATTTTTAATAAACACACACATACATATGAAAACAGTAGTCAACTGAAAGCTAAATACTATTAGTTAAAGAGCCTTGCAAATTAAAATAAATCGAGTATGTGACAATTATAAAGATTTTGTATTTATTTTCTATATATACAAATAGTTTTGCTGCTATTAAAAATAAACTGAGTTCACAATCTTTGCATTCCAACGATTTATTCGAGTCTTTTGTGTTCCTATGTAGTCTGTGCTTACTATATTTTATATCGATTCGTATATTTATGTATTTTAGTAGTTTGCTTTTAGTTTTGTTAACTATTTTCGATTATTAAATTTTATATGTATTCGTCTTTTTATGTGTAAAAAATTAAATACATTTTTTTTTA